AAATGTGAAACATTTATTTATTTATTTATTTATTTATTTATTTGTTTCACATTTGCCAGATAGGTCATTATTATCTCATAATGCTGAATAGAAGAATATAAGAGAAAATGTTGGCAATAGATTGGTCAACAAAATGCCTGTCAGTTAAAGATAAGTGCATTGCCAACTCTGGTGACTGATCCCTTCTTTTCTTTAACAGTAATGTAGGAGAGCATTGTTTGAAGAACAATAACAGCATAAGTGTTAAATACAGCCATTTATTTGACTGTGTGTCTGAAATACTCTTTTTCTCTTCCTCAGGCTTTTCTTATTTTTCTTCCTTTCTCAGATAAACTAATTACTTCACATCTGATCTTCTCTCCTTTTCTTCAGCGGTGATTCCTCTGACTGATTCTGAACACAAGTTACTGCCTTTGCACTTTGCTGTTGATCCAGGGAAAGACTGGGAGTGGGGAAAGGATGACAATGATAATTCCAAGCTGGCCAAGTAAGACTTTTTTTTTAGTCATTAAGAATTCAGCAAATTAGCTTCAGGACCTCTGTGTACTCAGGATCCTGGGCAGCCTTCCTCTTTGTAGCACTCCCACAAGAAATAGTTCCATTCAGGTTTTTTTTTTTTTTTTGGAGACATTTTACAGCTTGTGGATTTTAGTTAATTGATTGTATAGTTTTACTCCATATATATATGGGGTGGGCTGCTGTCCATGGGAAGTCCAGGAGGGAAGATAATTGATTTGTTTTTCCTAGCCTGTTTCTTTTAGAGACCCTGTTCAGTGGGGAGCTTGGTTTGAAAGTGCTCTTGCCCAGATGATATCAAGATGATGTCCTTCTTGTTTCTCTTAACTGAGGATGCATGGTCTATAGCTGTACTTTTCCAGTAACTATATGGTGTGGTCTCCCCTCTCTTTCTTTTTTTCTCAGTTTGATTCTGTCTCTGGAGGCAAAACTTAATCTTCTGCACAGTTACATGAATGTAACCTGGATACGCATACCGTCAGAAACACGGGTAACCCCTTTACTCTGTATATGCAATTTGAGAGTCTGTGCCTACAAAAGAACTAATGAAAGAGCTCAGGTGACCCAGCGCTTGGCTTCCTGCACTTAACACAAACGATTGCGTCATATCTGTGCTTCATTATTTGCTGTGTGCTGGCATTTGAGGGAAACCTGTGTGGTCTATAAGGGACCTTTGGGGGACAGAAAGATGTACAAGAAGGAGAGTATCTGAGGCCCCTGCACTGTTGTGCCAGTCATTGCAACAACAGTAGTAACATAGTATTAGGCTGTATGTAAAAAAAGTATATGAAAACGACAGTGGAAAACAACAGGAAGAATTACAAGTTCTAGTCCGTTACGATGAGATGTTAAAAGTCTGTTTCTTTCTCACCGTTTTTCCTACTTCTAATCTTGTAGCTAATTTCATATGCCTTTGAGTAAACCTCTGAAGAGACTTTTCTGCACCCATGCTTGGAAAATCTTTCTCCAAGGCAGAAGAAAGCAAATTCTATCTTATCTCTAATGTTCATATTAGCAATAGTAAGGTGTTGCCATTATTTATTAGGTATACAGTACTTTAACAACCACATATGCAGGATAGGTTATGGAACCATAATAGCTGTCCTTCCAGCCTGCTTTAGCTGGAAATGTGATACTGCAATCCAGCTCCATCAGGACAGCCAAACTGAACTTGCTCTGATCAAGACAAAAGAGCAACAGGCCAACCTTATTACTCTTGGTCTGTGGGGAAAGCTATAGACCACAGTTGGTTCTTCTCTTTGTCTGTGTCCTGCTCTGCATTTGGGAACGTGTGAGCTCAGGCCCAAATACCAGAAAACTCCAATAGTTCCACAAAACAGATGTATACCAGATGTAATGTGGAATGAGGGGGTCCAGGAAACTTGGAACAGATTTTTTTAAAGAACTTTTTTTCACACAGTGCATAATTAGGCTGTATAATTCACTCCTGTTGGAAGCAGCAATGGCCAAACTTAGACATCTTCAAAAGATATTTGAAATATTTGTGAAAGGTGAGGTTGTCAATGGCTATTACTTTTAATATTAGGGGAAAAATTTCTCTCTTGAACAGTTTCTGGGAAACCTGAGTAGGACACATGCTCTTATGCTTATGTCCTGCTTGTGTGCTTCCCATAGGCATCTTCTTAGTCGCTGTGAAAACAGATGATGGACTAGATAACCTTTGATCTGATCCGAAAGGCCCATCTTAGGTTTTTAAGAACATATTACCAGTACATGAAAAATGGCATTGTGGGCTATGAATATGTTCTCCAAAATCCCTCCCCTCAAAAGCTGTAGCTTTTGCACTATTTCCAACTGTTTATTACCCCTCTGAGAAGTCACTGTAGCATGTTTTTTAATGGTGGTCTAATTCTTGAATACACACTTTCATCAAATCAGGATTCATTTAGTTAGTGTGATGATATTACAGTGCCATCTAGTTCAGTCTGCAGTGTGCATAAAAATCCAGATGTATATTCAATATACATAGCTCTACAATTATGTTGGCTGTATGAGGACATTATGAAGCCATGTTAAAATAAGCCAGTTATTTCTGCTCTTGTTGCAAATGGGAGGACAATTTCACCCCACTTCCATAGGCCACATCAAATGAGCATTCACATCAACCACAAAGCTAATCTGTTTCCCTAGGACCAATTGCCTCAGCAGTGTCAAAATTCAGATAATTGTGTGTCAGTTTATGTCCTAGTAATTCCTAGTACTTCTGCATGATAGGAAGGCTATCTAGTGGTGCGTGTGCTTCAGTAACAGAATTTGAGAAGAAAAACGTGTTAATGATACTTTCCCTCCACAGTATTAATAAATTTTATTGCCTCTTGGTAAATAGGTGAACAGAATTGTGCAAAGAAATACAGGCTTTTTTAGCTTGAATTTATAAGAAAAATTCTAAGGCTACAAAGAAAATTTCTTACATTGTACTCCACGTTGTAAGATATATAAGCATGAATTATTTGTTGTAATTGACCAGGAAAGATTGGCTTTAAATTTTTTTCCCACATTTTTCTGTTACTAACCTAACTCACTCCTGTACCATATTACCATGTCATAGTATTTGTTCTGAAGGTGCCTCACATATCTTTCCAGATATCCAGTGAATTGCAACTGGAATAATCCAGTTTTTCTTGTGGATTGTCTATGATTATTTTGTGTATTTTATTTATTTATGTATTCATTCGTTAGATTTATATACTGCCCATCTAGAACATGTCTACTCTGGGCGGTTTACATATAACATAAAAATAAACTAAGGTAAATCCAATATGATTATATTAAAATGTGTCCAACACACTGATTAAATGTAAGACAGTTAGATAACTGGACCAAGGAATGGAGGGATGGAAGGGAAGGAAGGAGAATATATGGGATGACTAAATTTGAAGAAATGATTGAAAAGAGGGAAGAGATGGATGATAATATTCAAAGAAAATGGATAATAAGTGTGATATATAAGATGTTAGTAGAAAATGAATATAAAACAATAGTTTTGAAAAAGATATGGCAAGGAGATTTAAATAAAGAAATCAGTGAAGAAGTACGGAAGAGGATCTGGGGGAAAGGAATAATGAAAAATATGTCAGGGTAAAGAAAAACTCTTATAAAGTAATATGGAGAAGGTATTTAACACCAATGAAATTGAATACCTTGAATAAAAAGTTATCATCTATATGTTGGAGACATAAAAAAGAAAGGGGAACATACTATCACATGTGGTGGGCATGTGAAGAGAGACAGAAGGAATAGATGAATGTATTTAGTGAGATTAAGGAAATTCTAGAAACAGATATATAAAGATATCCAGTGTTAGCATTGTTAAATATATTTGGAAACTGATCTTTGCAAGGAATTGGAAAAATAATAATAAATTAATATTGGAAGAATGGTATAATGAGATGTGGAATCTAGCTATTAATGAGAAATTAACTTGTGAATTGAAAGTTAGAAAAGGATTATTGCAGGAAAATAGTTTTAATGGGATTTGGAAACCTTATCTAGAATCATCATATTTTTGGAAAGAGATGGGGCACATGATACAAATTTAGATGAAATGTATTAATGAGAATATATATATATATAAATTTATATTCCCGATGGTGGTTACACTGTATATTTGAGTTGTGATTTCTTGTCATTTATGTTTTTGTTATATTTTGTTATATTAATAACAAATAAAATGAAATATATCCAACATTGAGAGCATTATCACACACAATAGATCTCACTGGAGTGGCCAGATGGTCATCAAGGCATGCTCTTCTATTAATTAGCCTATCTGTAATAAAAAAAAAATCTCCCTGCAAGCATTAAGCAGGAGCAAACAAATAATAATAGATTTAAGATGTCTTCAGATACACCAGGCAAATGAACCAAGTAATATGTTTTATTGAAATATCTGAGAATACAAGCTGATTTGACTGCAGAAATTTCCTTCTTAACTTGTGAATCAGTTCTCAGAGAGTTATAATGAGGAACATATTGATTCTCTCTAACCTCATGCCACATTGGCCTCTGAGGTTTCATATATAAAAACCTGTCCAAAATTTCTTCACTATTTTCCTTTTCAGTTGTCACCATCTTGTATGCATTCGGGCATTTACATTGTGTATCAGCTCTAATTTCAAAAAATTTCTTGAAAGACCACTTCAGTGAGAAATTTGGCAAGCCACTTTACTGGAAACCAAGATCTAGAAAATGTCCTCCAAAGATCAGATTGCTTGTTAATTAACATTCTTGTCTTTGTCTATCAGTCTATTAATCTAGTTTGTGGAGCAGTGCTTTTAATAGCTCTCTCATTTTTCAAATGTTAACATCCTGAAATATCTATAGTACCATATTTGCCTCTCATAGAGGCAAACTGTTGTGTAAGAATGCCAATCATTTCTAATTGTTACTTGCTTCTCCTAATAGGCTCCTCTTGCTCAGCCAGAATCTCCTACTGCATCAGCAGGAGAGGATGTTCAATCTCTTGCTGATTCCATGGACTCCGACAGAGATTCCATCTGTAGTAATTCTAATGGCAATAATGGCAGAAATGGGAAGGAGAAGGAAAAACAAAGGAAGGATAAAGAAAAAAATCGAGCCGACTCGGTTGCTAACAAACTTGGGAGTTTCAGTAAAACACTAGGCATCAAGCTAAAGAAGAATATGGGTGGGCTTGGAGGACTAGTGCATGGCAAAATGAGCAGAGCAAATTCAGGAAATGGCAAAAATGGGGAGATCATTGAGAAGGTGAAGGAGAAGAAGTCCAAGTTCCGCAAAGGAAGCAAAGAGGAATCTGGACAGTCTGCAAGCACTTCCCCTTCTGAAAAGACTCCCTCTCCCACAGAGAAGGCAAGTGTCTCCCCTGTTGAAAAAATGAATTCTAAATCCCCTTCAGATAAGCAGTCAGATCCATGGAAATACAGTACTGATGTGAAGCTGAGCCTCAACATTTTGAGAGCTGCCATGCAAGGGGAACGCAAGTTCATTTTTGCTGGCCTTCTCCTAACCAGCCATCGACATCAGTTCCATGAGGAGATGATTGGATATTACTTGACTAGTGCCCAGGAGCGCTTTAGTGCTGAACAGGAGCAGAAGAGGAAAGAAGCAGAGAAGAAGGCTACCCTCAGTGGGTCCTCATGTAGGAAACTAGAACAAGAAGCATACTCAAAAGAGAAGCTGGAATCATCTCCTCAGGGAAGGGCATCACCAGTCTTGCCTCAAAGCCATACAACTCAACTGGTTTTAAAGTTTAAAGACCGCAGTAGTCCCATACCAGGGTCATTTTCATCACCCAGTAATGGTGCCAAGAAAAGTGTACCCATTCCAGTATCTGCCCACTATAGCCATACACCCCCTGTTCAAAGGCAGAGTGTCATCCATTTGCATGATGTCAATGCTAAACCATCAAGCTTCCAAGATGATACTTATAAGCCAGTAGTTGGCACCTTAAAAACATGTGCCACATATCCCCAGCAGAATCGGTCATTGTCTTCACAGAGTTATAGCCCAGCCCGGATAGCAGGCATTCGTACTGTCAACACAGTGGAGTCACTGTCCTATGCCATGCCTACAGACCACAAGTCGCAAACATATACCAATGGGTTTAATACCAGTGACATTAGAGACTGCTTAGAATATGCTGATGAAGAGGCACCTCAGACCTGGTTAAACAATGATAAAAATCGAGGCAGGAGCACAGTTTGCCCAATGTATTCTCTCCAGCAAAATCGCTGCAAGAAAGAGAATTGCTCCTTCTATGGTCGCCCAGAGACTGAAAACTATTGCTCCTATTGCTACAAAGAGGAACTGAAATGCCGGGAGCGAGAAAATAAAGGCCACCGGCATTAAAGACAGTGGAGCTCTTTCCAAGACTATTTCCTCAATTTCCTTACATAAGTAAATGACAGTGGATTAGAGGAGGAAGGAAAAGGGAATCTGTGGATAGAAAAGTCTAGCGATGAAAAAACAAGGATAATTTATCATAAAGGGTTTATTATTTTCCATTTTGTGGTTGTCTTTTTTACATACACTGGTAAGCTGAAAGGTTGTTTACTCCTTTGTCAGTGCTATGTGTACGTGTGGTCAAAATTTTACTAATGGTGCCTGAATTTACACTGACATCACTCAGGTAGTAGAAAGATAGGGAAAAAGTCATAATAACTGGAGATCTGGTGTTGTATTAAGATTGTGTCTGCCTCATTCTATAGAGCCATTGCAGTTAAAGAAATTTAACTTTTCATAGTTGCCCTCTTTTTTTAAAGGGGGAAAGAATAGTAATTTTGCATACTGACATACTGACATCTTTGCTATAAGCATATATATTATTTTAGTGTTACTGTTTCTCCACAGATACACAAATGAAGATCTGGATTCATGAAAAGGCCATCCTCAAACTGGCCAATTTTTAGTTAAAGAAAGGGGGCATTTAGTTTTAAGATGAGGCTTTATCTCTAATATTTGAAAATAAGCAGTTTGACAGAGGAGCAGGGAAACAACTGCAGCCATAAATTGCCAGACATGTTGTTCCTCAGCTGTTTAATGCACATTGCACAGCAGGGCATTCTGTATCTCATTGACCATATCATTGTCTTGACAGTTTTGACCAGTTTAATGGCTCTGCTTGTTGAAAACAACAGGTTGATGTATGCTGTCAAAACTTTGCATCTTTATTATTCATTGATCCAAATGTGGAGTTAATTCCTCTGCAGAAAAGGGAAAGTGGATGCTGTAAATTTGCACATACATTAGCACACACTTTTTGGCCTTCCACAATGAATGCTAGAAATTAAAAAGTGTTAAATCGAAGTTCAAATTAAATGATACGGCAGAGACTCAAATTAAGATGAGAGTGTTCACAATGGACTTGGAAACCAGTCAAATAAACTGAATAATCCCCAGTTTCTGGAATTGTCTTTGCATGGTTCCAATACTGCTTAAGTGTAATGCTAATCTATTTATTTATTTATTTGTTCATTTAAAAATATATCAGTCCCATTTCAAAATGTGCTACTTTAGCAAGTTAGCATGCAATAAAGAGTAAAATCAGTTAAAAACATATAGCAATAATAATGGTAACAACACAGAAGTGTTGAGTAGGAAAAATGATGCAAATTGCAAATATACTTGAATGAAATGATGAATACATTTGGACCACTTTTGCCAGCCAAGATGTGAAAAAACAAAAAACAAAACCCTAGGGCCAGTAGGATTAAACTCAAAGTTAATCTGATTAAATGTAGTCTGAAATTAATATGTTCCTAGTGCTTGCCTGGAAGACAGAGAGGGAAGAAGTTTCATAAATTTAGAGACAGTGTTGAAGAAGTCTTGTCTTAGCAAGCCTAAGTTCGTTCCTTGGGGCCATATGAGCACAGCCTTGGCCGTTGACCTTAATGATATGAACATAAGCAGTCTTTCAAGTAACCTGATCATAGAATGTGACGGGCTTTGAAAGGTAATATGTCACCACTTCAAATTTGGCCCATAAGCTAATAGACAGCTAATGCAGCATTTACAGAATCAGTGTAATGTGGTTTTAATGTCTGGATCATATTACAGTGACACAGACTGCCATGACTGTGCCAGAGGAAGTTCACAAACCGTCTTCAAAGCCAGCACCACATGCAACACATTGTAGTAGTCAACTCTGGGCATAACCAAAACATGAAGAACTGAGGCAAGTTTTATCACATAAATATAAGATCACAGAAATAAGTGATACAGCTTACGTTGATAAAAGGCACTGTTAGGCATCACTGCCACCTATAACTCCACATACAGCACAGAGTTCAGAAGGACACCTAATGTGTAGATCTGGCCTTTCAGGGTGAGTGCAGCCTCATACAGAATTCATTGAGACTTGTTATCTGGACAAAGGCGGCTCACATCCACAGTACTTCCATCTCATTAGGAGCTGGCATGAATGAACAGAGACAATTTTTTGCTTTCCTCCTCCTCTCTGTTTCTTTTCCTTGCAATCCATTTGCTGCCTGTGTAAACACCAAATAGCATTATCCAGAAAAAAAGGGCCTCTCCCTTTTATATGTGTACTCTGCCTAGATATAAAAAGAATACACAGAAACTTAAAAACAGAAAGGCCCACCAAGGACTAATATGCCTGCCATATTGAAAAGTCCTCCAATGTCATCTGTCACTCCCACAATCAGCAGTTTTGTAGTTCTCTGATTTGGATCAGTTTCAATTTATTCACCATCATTAACTGCATTGCTATGGACCCTGTCAGGCCTGATGAAAGGAGAAGGAGGAAGTAATACAATATGTTAGTCTCCTGATAACCAACTCTTTTTGTTGTTTTGAGGGTTTTAAAGTTTTAATCTTTTAAACCGTCCAGAGTAGTGCTTGCGTTAATTGGGCAGTATATAAATGGAATGAATGAATGAATGAATGAATGAATGAATATACTTGAACCCCTCAAGATGGGCTTTCTTTTTATTAAGAAAGCTCTTCACTAGGAATGCCCTGTATTTAGGGCACTGCCTTTTAATTTCTATACATAATAAAAACTTGAAGGAAAAATCACTCATGACTATTCCTCACTTCATATTTTGCCCTTCATTTTAACTACCTAGAATACATAGTAATTGTCTTAGTTTTGCAATTCTTCATCTCACACTGAAATCAACTGTAGTGGGGACCACCATGAAGTCCTGCCTAAATACAAAATGAAGCGATACCTGCTCCTCCTTACCTCTGAAGAAGAATTTCAATGTAGTACCTTTGTTTATTTATTATTTTCTTAAAATATTTTTATACTTTTCTAAGCAAGGCCTCCCCAAGGTGATATTAGTATTATGACTATTATCAGGCGATAGCTCTTCATGAATCCAGGCTTGTAGTTTCTGTATCTCTGGGAATGTTACAAAATTTGTGGTCTTTCTAAACTAGTATCCACCCCTACCCCATGAAGTAGTTTTACCACACTTAAGGGCACTCTCCTATATGATCTTACAAGGGTGTGTACAGGAGTGCTACAACTCAGCTGGTCCCTGTCCAGTTATGGGAAGTCATTCCAGGAAAGTGGGTCAGCTGTTATTAGCATTGCCTGGCATTGCAGTCTCCAGCTTTGCCACTTAGTTCAAAGCAGAGGAAAGGGGCACCTTCCTTCCTTCTGGAAAGACTCTTCCCTTGCCCTGTCTGTGCTTCCACTTTAGAATCAAGGTGCAAAACCAACTGGGTGGGCAACTGCTGGGTAAATCCGACTTCCTGTTACCTTAGATGTGATTCACACATAAGTGTCTTGGATGTTACAGTTTTGAGCAGTACTGCAGTGTCTTGAAAATATTTGAGGTTAGTTGTGGCAATTGCTCCTTATATTTCTTTGGCCAAAGAAATCTGTGGTATCAGATGGAGTTACCTGTGATTGTATTTGTTACAGAGAGAAAAATCAAGAAGATTTTGAAAAAGAGTTTGGAGAAAGCAAATAGTAGTGATTACTAATATATTAGTGTAGGAATAGCTTTCCATATTCCTATGAATACTTCTTTAGCTGAAAGTAGACATGAGGAATTTACTATTAATAATTTTTGCTTCCCTTTTGGTTCAAGTACAGTGTATCTTGGATGAAAAGCTTTTTTGCAAAATAATTTTCACAAGGTGGTATACTATTTTTTAAATAAAGCGGTTCTCATCAGGAGAGTAGAGCTGAACATCTTTCTACTATATCATTTTGAAGAAAAAACTTGCTGAAGATTACTTCTGCCTTGACAATAGATTATCAAGTGCCCTGATTATCTGTTGAAATCAGTAGCAACCTAAACTGTGCAGTGGCAGCCTTGCTTTAATCTGATTCTAGCTTCAGGCATAATCATTGAAATATCTGCGTTTATATGTGGTAGCACCATGCAAACAAAGTCTTAAGGCAAGGCTAAGGAGAATGTAGTTAAACAGCAGAGCATCTCAGAAAAAAAAATGTGGCTTTAAGGACCACTCCTTCCACTTCATCTATGGAAGATAGGCATGAGGCCAAGGCCAGTTCCATTCTTGGTTGATAGAGTTAGAACTTGCTGAGGTATGGGGTTGAAGTGGAGAGTCAGAAGATATTACTTTTTTGGCCATAAAAGGGTTGAAGGTCAATTTTCCAATATTCATGCTATACCTAGCCAGTTGTAGAGAACAGTGATGCATACCCATTGCTTTCTGTGCCTGAATAAAGCATTGAAATCCAGACATATACCATATGTTAGGCTCAGATATATAGTTCTTGGTCAAACCTGTGGGGTCCCAACTCAGGGTAAGTTTGTTGTTGTTGTTTAGTCGTTAAGTTGTGTACAACTCTGCTCAGTTAGCATTGCTGATCATTATGCTGAACCACCACAGTAAGGATCAGCTAGAAGATGGCCTGAGGCAATGATCTTGTGGCTCATGCATTCATTGTTAAATGGCCCTGCCAAGGACAAGGGAATTGGGAGTTGTGAGCATTCATACCATCTGCATTTCTAGACATTGCTCCTCTCTGTCTCTTCTAGTAGATAGGTTTATTGTTCCTTAGAGGCGGAATTAGAGAAAACTGTATAGTTGTCAACATCATGAACTAAGTATAGGTAGAATTTTCTGTTCTTGAGATATTTTTGTTGTCCTTTAATTTTGAAAGCCAATTTATTTTGCTTGAACTTCCTCTTATTCATATTCTCTCTTCCCCTTTCCCCTTCAATCAGCCTTGCATTTTTTTTTTTTGCTTGTGCCAGTGATTTGTGGGTTGATCACTTGATAGGGGATATATATTGTAGACAATTCAGTATATAAAGGGCTATGGGTTTGTGGGAGGGTAATTATAAGTCAGGAAAGCAGGGCTGTGCAAAGACAAATTTTGTTTGTAGGTATGGTATTTCATAGGCTCTATTAAAGCAAAACATAGATATTCTTGAGGGAATCTACAGAACCTCGATAGAATTGAATAGGAGCCACAGAACAGCCCATCAGGGCTCAGGCAAACTGATAGGGGACTTGTGCAAAAGGTCTTCCACAGGACTGTGCCCATTCTAAGGTGCATTGGAAGTACAAAACATGGAACAGCAGTTGAATGTAATGTGTAATGTGCTAATTGTTCTGGAGGGAAGTGATGTTTTTGCAAATAAAAATGCTTTATGGTAAACATAATGTATACCTATGTATTACTAATAGGCATCAGGAAAAATATATGCTTGGGAAAGAAGGCTGTTTTACTTAAATTGTTCGAACTACTAATCCAAAACTTGTTCAAAGACAAGAAAATATGCAAAATGTTTGCTCTTCTGTGGAACAAAAAGTCTGTGCTAAAGATTATTGAGAAAATAGCTTATATATACTACATAAGCATTCCCACACTTTGTAGTCACACGTTTAAAAGAAGTATTTAAAAAGGGCTAATGAATGCATAAATTGTGATATATTTGTGTTTACAGATAACTTGTGTTGTGTGTTGTGGGTGGGTTTAAGCAGGTCTGCAGAAAATTCGCAGATGTCCGTAAGCACTGCAAGCAAACTTTAAGGCTTGGTAGCAGGAGTTCTCTCTGCTGCTGCATTACTCCAAGGTCCTCGTTGTTCTTTCAAATCAAGGGCAGGGTATTTTCTTTCTGTTCTGAAATCCAAAGACAGTGCAAACGCCTTGCTCTAATTAAACGTTCATTAAACTCAGCAGCAATCCATTTCAGTTTAAATCATGCCTTTAGGAAAGGACTTACCGGTACTAATATGATACAGATAATGCATGCCTTATGTCCAGTAAAATGGGCGGTATGTCCAGCTCTGTGCTCCTCTTACATTGAAAAGAGGCACATACCTTTTCTATGTTATAAGATGACTGGTGAGCAAAGACATGTCTTTCATTAAAATGAGTAGCAAAAAAAAAAGAAAGAAAGAAAGATCAGAAACTGTCCAGGCAAAATGCTCTGTTCAGTTTGCACACTGCCCTTCCCCACCCCACCAATCTTCCTGGTGAGCTGAATTCTCTATGCTTGCAAATTTGCGTGAATCTCTCTCCCTGAAAAATAGTTGCTCAGTATAAATAAGAAATTTAATCACCAGATGAGTGAAGGACACGCAGAATGCTTATAAGAGGCATGGACTTTTCCAAATTAATCACCAAGGCCCCTCTCTGTGGTGCAATTTTGTGCAAGATAATTGTGTGAAATGTGGTGTTAGGTACACAGTTCGCCTTGATAAGAATATTTGCTCCCCTCCCCCTTCACCTTTAGGGAACAAAGATATACTTGAAAGTGTACTGGCAATACCTGCTAAAAGTTCAAAAGTCAGAGAGAAGGCTGTATAACTCTATGCCACACACTGTGACTGGAAAATCCAGAGTTATTTATGCAAAATTTAAATTTGAATAATAAATCAGGCAATGAAGAGAATCTGTGCAAATCTATTCAATTTGTATAATTTATTCATAAAGGAATAAATTGTGGGTCCATTCTCCAAAACTTACATTTTGTTGAATGTTTGATCCAAATTTGAAAGGATGTTTTCATAGGAATGACACAAGAAGTCTGCATTTCTTGTTTTTAATCATCATTGTTGCTACTTGCTATGTTATTACTCAAGCGTAAGCAGCTTGATGTTTTTAACCTTCTTGTCACTGTTGTCATGGCATTGCTGTGCTGATCATTGGATTGAAATAATGACAAGCCATGGCACACTTAATACAGGGGAAAGAAATTAGTGTTCAAAACAGAAGACCCTGTAATGATATAATTTATCCTTTGTACAAAGTTCTTTGCTCATTGAAGTTAGATGGCAGTCATGCATTTTAATAGGTCCCCACCCAAAAATATGCATATTTATTTCCAAAAATGTATAATGTGGATTAAAAGTATGCATAAGGAGTTTGATTCGACAGTCATACTTAGAGTAGTTTTAACTTGAGTGGGACTGACTAACCTAGGTCTCACTGATTTCAATGTCTGTGACCTGAAGCTCCACTGGATCCAGTTAACTGTATCATGAAAGAATTATTTATATTGTGAGGTGGGGAATTTATACCTTCCCTTCTAACGACATGTGCATGTTCTTTTGATGACAGCAAGAGAGGAAAAATAATAGCTGACCTTGATTGTAAGTGGCTTTTCAGCTCAGGCCACGTTTAAACCTTTTGCAACCTAAACTGTGCTATTTTTCATTTGAAGGTATGGCAAATCATGTAGAATTACTGTATTGCCGGATAGAACATGGTATAGAATTTAAATGACTTCAGTGACTTGTTTGCACATTTGCTTTTCTGTGTACATGATTGTTCTTTTTTTAAACGAAGAAAGGAGTAGTATATTAAATTTTTTTAAAAAACAAAAATCCCCTAAAGAAAGGTATTTGTAAATGTGTTCTGTTTGTAGACATAAAATGCTGTATTATGTTGGAATTTTCCAAGCCAAGTT